GGTGCTAGGGGTTATCTAATCAGGAGGCACCAGGCCTTGGGAGAGAAAAAGAGAGCCAAAGGCTGGCCCTGCCATTACTCAAGCATAGTTCTGGCATGGTCTTGTTGCACCGTGAAAGGAATTCTCTCGGGTTCAGACGTAACAAGCCTCTTCTGGTAAACCTGGGGCCTTGCAAGGTACTTGTTCAATCTTGTTAGCTATAGCTGTCAATGTCCAAAGTCCAGCTCTGTTCTCAAGCATTGGTGGCAGATAATGGTGCAATAAAGGGACGCGGGTGGCGCTGTGGGTTAAGCCACAGAGCCTAGGACTTGCCGATCAGAAGGTTGGCAGTTCGAATCCCTGCAACGACAGGGTGAGCTCCCGTTGCTCGGTCCCTGCTTCTGCCAACCTAGCAGTTCGAAAGCACGTCAGAGTGCAAGTAGATAAATAGGTACCACTCCAGTGGGAAGGTAAACGGCGTTTCTATGAGTTGCTCTGGTTCACCAGAAGCAACTTAGTCATGCTGGCCACATGACCCAGAAGCTGTAGGCCGGCTCTCTTGGCCAATAAAGCAAGATGAGTGCCGCAACCCCAGAGTCGGTCACGACTGGACCTAATGGTCAGGGGTCCCTTTACCTTTTAATGGTGCAATTATCTACATGTCTACTGGGATGTAAGCCCCATTGAATCCCATGGGACTTGTTCCAGATAAGGGTGAATTTGACTGGGTACATAGGTAAATGCAGGGATGAGGAACCTGCGGCCCTCCAGATGTTCCCGGACTACAACTCCCATCATCCCTGACTATTAGTCAAACAGGCCAGGTCTGTTGGGTGTTTTGGTTCAACAGCAACTGGAAGGCCACAAATTTTCCATCTTTGGGCAAATGCATGCAAGCTGCAAAATAGTCTTCTATGCACACTTCCCTGGGAGTAAGTCCCATGGAACATAGTGGGCTTCACTTTTGAATAAGCTATATACACTTGTGCTGTAAGTCATCATGCAGTGCCTGACATTTTGGAAGCTGCAGCTACTGTGCTTCCAACCGATAATAATACACTGTAGGACAACCCTGGTTTCCTGCTATATCTTTAACAAACCAAAGAAACATCACCCTCTTGGCTTTTCAAGAAGCAGAGGAGTTATTGCAGAGGAAATGAATAGACCACATGCAAGATGCTGAAGGGCAGATCACCACCACAACCCACAGATCTTCAGACACAGCCTCAGGCTGTAGGCACATGTTCTTTGCACATTCCCCTGTAGAACAAGTAATTGGTGCTGGCTTTGCAGAGCTAAGAAAGTTCCATAAGTTCAGGACACAAGAAAAGCTCTGCTGGATTCATCCGGACAAGCATCCTGTTCTCACAGTGGCAAACTGAAAGCCTATGGGAGGTCTGCAAGCAAGACCTGAGCATAAAAGCATGCTCTCCATTTGTGGCAATCATGAGTGTAGCCAAGGGGGCGGGGGCGGCAGCTGCCCACCCTCAAAATCAAGTAAAACCATAGAAATACTAAACTAACTGACCAATCACATCAGTTCTGCCCCCCCCCCAAATCCTGGCTATTCCCATGCTGGCAACAGGGCATTCAGGGACATATTGACTCCAACTATAGGCTGATGTGGTTCAAAGAAAAGCAGAGCGAGACATTTGGCACCAGCTGGGCTGCAGGAGTTGCCGAAAGGAGGCGTACAAGTTGCTGTCCAACTGTCTTAGGGACACTGGCGGAGGAAGAGGAGTGCGGGGGGAGCGCACCGCCCCCGGCAGTGCGATCCCGGTGGGGTGCCATCATGGCTGCCCCCCCACCTGTGCTGGGCACCATGTCCCGCAGGCTGCGTGCCACACGCCCGTGTGGGCGGCGTGCCAGCCCCGCCCTCGCCTGCTCTCTGCCCCCCCCCCGGTGCTGGAACATGAAGCTCTGCCACTGCTTAGGGACTCCACTCTGAATTTGTGTTGGGTTTACTCCTTAATCTTTTCTTCTCCCAAAGATGGGATGAGTATAGCCACAAGGCAGTGGAGATTTAGGATCAGCATTTTCCTTTTCCTAGATGGGCTACTTTCCCATGTTGATGAGCCCATTTCCCCCTCATTTTCCTCTACAGCTCATGCAGAAACTGCCTTCTTTGTGGCCAGGAAAGGGAGAAGTAAGGGTGGAGTGTGTGTGTGTGTGTGTGTGTGTGTATGTATGTATTATACAGTGGTACCTCAGGTTACAAACGCTTTAGGTTACAGACGCTTCAGGTTACAGACGCTTCAGGTTACAGACTCCACTAACCCAGAAATAGTACCTCGGGTTAAGAACTTTGTTTCAGGATGAGAACAGAAATTGCGCAGCAGCGGCGCAGCGGCAGTGGGAGGCCCCATTAGCTAAAGTGGTGCTTCAGGTTAAGAACAGTTTCAGGTTAAGAACAGACCTCAAGAACGAATTAAGTTCTTAACCCGAGGTACCACTGTAGTTTAACTTAGAATAAATTCCTCTAAAGTGGAAAAAACCCCTGTACCTCAGGTTAAGAACTTTGCTTCAGGATGAGAACAGAAATCGTGCAGCAGCGGCGTGGCGGCACTGGGAGGCCCCATTAGCTAAAGTGGTACCTCAGGTTAAGAATAGTTTCAGGTTAAGAACGGACCTCCGGAATGAATTAAGTTCTTAACCAGAGGTACCACTGTAGTGCTAAGGGTCTTAGCCTCCTTTGTTCTTCACAACTGGGATGGAGAAGCTTTTTAAACCCAAGGGTCACCTTCCCTTCTGGGCAACTTTTTTTTATTGGGTGGAGACTAGGAATGGAAGGATCAGTCCGTTTTGGCTCTCTCTCTGTTTCTCATTTTTCCAGTCTGCACTTCTCCAGACTTCTGTAAATCCTCCTGAAAATTCTCCCGTCTTTTTGTGCAGATTTCCCCCAGTGAACACACTTTTCGCCTGCATTCTGAGGAATGTAATGCAAGCCATTTTACCTAACGCAATTTCCTTTGTGTGTGACTCTCACCGATATATTAATTTTATGCACCCTGATAGAACATGCGTTTTTGTAAACGTTTGGCTGCAGAACCACAAAATGTGGAGCACTGCTGATTTTGAAAGAGGGCTGTGCTTCAGGTCTCGAAAGTGCCAATTTGATAAATTGGCTTTAAATGTGAACTGAATCTGATTTCAGTGGACAGAGCAACCCAGGCAAATCTTACCTTTGTAGGGCGGGCCAGTTTCTTCACACTCACCCACCCTCACTCTCTACCCTCCCCATCTGGGCAAACAAGTAGCATGGTCGAAGTTTCAAGGAGATGCTCCAGCCAGGCAGAAATGCTCAAGCAAGGTGCAAAGCAGGGCAAGTGATGGGTGTGGCTCAGGTGTGCGGCTCAGGTGTGTGGATGTGTGGCCTGGGGAGCATCCCAAGGCCCAAACAGAGAAGCTCAGATGGCCTCATTTGGTCCCCCAGGCCTGAGGTTCCCTAACCCTGTCCAGCCAGTTGCAAGACAGGCAGGGCAAGATTAACAATGGCAGCTTCTCTGCCCCCCTCCCTATATCCAGTACAGGGGAAAGCTATGCCTGTTGAATTTCTGGCACATTCCCCACAGCATCAGACAGGCGTCTTCGCTATGTGCCTTTCAGCACCTGATAAAAACATTTTTTGTTCAGACAAGCCTACCCAGGCATGTGGAATGCCTATGCATGCTTTAATCTGTTATTATTTTATTGCCATTTTTTAATGTTTTAAATAGTTGCTGATAATTTTATATTCTGATATACGGTATGCTGATCGTGTTATTGTCTTATTCTCTTTGTAAACCACTTTGAGGGTTTTTTTAAAAAAAATAACCACCACGCAAGTAGAAATAGTTATGAAAGAAATAAACAGCAATCCTAGCAATAGCAAATGTGTTTTCTCGGTTTGGATGTTGGAAACTGAAAACTGCAGCTAATGCGAAACAGGAAAGTGCAAGGGAAGTCACACATCAGAAATGAAGCGAGTAGGAAAAGTGTTCCTGCACTTGTGGCTTGTTTCTGATCTTATGAACCAGGGGTAGCCAATATCCCCTGCAAATTTTGTAGACTAAAACTCCCATCATCTGTGATTGTTGGCAATGATAGTTGAGGCTGATGGGAGTTGCCTAAACATTTGGAAGACACAACATTTGCTTTCCCCTGGTCTTAACCATAGTATTCTGTTTGCCCAAATTGTCTCTGCGTTTTCCTTGTGTCTGCAGACGTTCTAGGTCAGGCATCCCCAAACTCGGCCCTCCAGATGGTTTGGGACTAAAATTCCCATCATCCCTGACCACTGGTCCTGTTAGCTAGGGACGATGGGAGTTGTAGTCCCAAAACATCTGGAGGGCCGAGTCCGGGGATGACTGTTCTAGGTGGAACTCTCCCCTATGCAAATCCCATACAAATTCTTAGGAATTAGCTATCAGTTGCTTTTGCCCAGGGATAGAGAACCTGTGGCATTCCAGGTGTTGTTGGACTCCAATTCCCATTTACCCCAGCCACCATGGCTGGTTGTCACAGGTGATGGAACTTGTAGTCCAACAATATCCAGACGTCCATCAGTTTCCCATCCCTGTTTTTGCCCAGTTTGGTGTCATCTAAAGAGATTTCCATTAGCTGATTAGGTTAACTTGGCAGGAGCCACCAACAAATGAGTAAGATAATGGCAATGGCACAGCCTCCATAGGGGAAGACATGCAAGGCCCTGCACACCAACACAACTGTTTCACACTTTCAGGAAGCAACGGAACAAATATGCCCCAGTGTGAAGTTGACCCTCTTCTCCTAGACCCTATAGCTACTATATGCAGCTTGTAGCTTTGCAGCTCATTGCTCAAGCAGCTTTACCAGAAGACATGGCATTTCCTAGCTGTTCTTCTTAAGAAGAGTAGGAGGGATTCAAGCTAAGACAAGGTGCTGAAGGTTCTTTCTTGGACCGCCTCGTCCCTAGAGGTCTACAGAAAGGAATCACCCCACAACCCACTGCTTCCTCTCCTCCCCAGCACCCCTCCCACCAACCATTGGGGTCCGTGACTCACCCCGTCCATTCTGATTGGGCCGGTAGATGCTGCCCACGCTGACCCGGGCCTGGTTTACACCTTGGTTGTCTGGAATCTGTTGGGGAGGCTCAGCGTTCCGGATGGGAAGGTAGGGCTCAGGCCTAGGCACCCCATGGGGGTCTAAGGGCCGGAAAGGTGGCTGAGGTTCCACGTTGCGGGGAGGGACGTAGGGTTCTGCGGGCGCCTCTCCAAAGGGAGGGTACTGCCCTGCCCACGGCTCATTCCCATACCTGGTCCCAGCACTCACGGGGGACCCGGAGTTGATGTGCAAGTTGTCTGCCACAGGCACCCCTTGCCCCGCAGACTGCTGGTTCTGGGCATAAGGGTCCTGGACACTTTGGTCATAGCTAGTCCCAGTGTCATGGTAGAGGCTGTGCGAGTACCTTCGGTCTAAGCCGTCCGAGGGCTGTACCTGTTGGGGCACAGGGACATAGGGCCTTTCCTGTGCCGGGTAGTATCCTTGGGCTCTGTAGGGGTTCTGCTCCTCGGCATGTTCCTCGTATCTCACCCTGGGCTGGAAAGGGTAGACGACCCCAGCGCTGGCTGCAGCTGCGGCGACAGCACCCCCTCCAGTTCCCGTGGTGCGGTAGTAGGTGTAGCTCTCGTCGTACGCACGGGGGACCTGCGGGTCATAGGCCTCATATTGGTTGGCGAACGGCGGCTGTGGCTGGGGGTAAGAGGCCTGCGGGTAGAGCTGTCCAAACGAGGAATGTGCAAAGGAGGAAGAGGAAGAAGAGGAGCCCACCTGACGCTGCCGAAAGGTGGGCGACCAGGGACGTGGAGAGTTGGAGTGACCGTCCCCGGTGGCCCCATCCCGCCAGTTGTCAGGGACCTGTCCGAAGCCAAACGGATGCCGTGTCTGGCCCCGGATGGTATCGGATCCTGCCCGGACTGGCAAGGTGGGAGCCTGCCGCCGGGTGTTCCCCGGGACCCTTCTGCTACCTTGGCTGGCGGCAGCGTCAGCCAGCATGACCCTTGCGCTGCTGTCTGCCCTTGTGTGGCTGGCCGGGACATACTCGGAGCCTGAGTTCAGGAGGCTGTACACTCTGCCGTTGTTCTCCCACTGGATCATCTGCCTCCATCGACCGGCGTCTACGTTGCTGCCTTGTGGGTGTTGCCCCCGGACCAGCAGGACAGCCCCAAAGCCCATCAAAGCCCACAGGTCCCAGAAGCTGAGAGGTGCCATGGTGATGAAAGGGATCAGTGACCTTGATGGGTGTTTTTGATGGGAGGAAGTCGTGGAAGAGCAGCCTGGAGGGCCTGTGGTAACAGCTTGTCCCCTTTCTCTTTCTCCGCTGCCTTCTCTTCTTCTTTAGGTGAATCGGTCTCAACTCTGTCCATTCCCTGTTTGTTTGAAGCTGCTCCAGGGGTCTCCCGCAAGCTTCATGTTGAGCTTGTTGGAGGAGAAAGAGAAAGGGAGAGAGGAAGATGAACGAGTCTCTTGAGAACTCAGGAGAGCCTGGAAAGTTCTGCTCCTTGTCTATTTCTTGCTCTTGGTCGTCGTCTTCTTCACGTTGCTGCTTTGCCCATCGCAGGGGACGCCAGTTGATCCTGCTTACTCTTGGCTGAATGTCTTTGCTTCTGGTCTGAATGAATAAGCAACAGGCTCTGAAAAAATGCTGGGAAGTTTCAGGACTCTTTTGCGAGTGTCTGGTATGCAGGGTCCTAAAAACCGCCCACTTTTATTTTGTTAGCTTCTCAGTGTTTCCCCACCCCCCACTCTCAAAGCACCTCGACCAAACGGCTTCTGTCGAATGTTTCAGAGCAAACTCCGTCTTCAGGGATAACAGTCAAACACCCCCAAAGAACTAGACAGAGCAACTGAAACATGTCCTTATGTTTTGCCAGTCCGTGATAGAAGGGCAAAATGAAGCCCTCAGGATTATACATGAATGTGTACATGCACACACGCAACATACCCAGAAAATACAGCTGAGCGTGGGTTTTCCAGCATGCAAAGAAACTTTGCTCTTTATTTGACTCTGTATTCAAGGGTTTTTCTTGGGTGGAGGTAAAGGGTTGAAGCATTGCTATGTAGGAGAAATTCGTTGCTGTGTCAGACAGGCATGGGGAACCTGTGGCCATTCACACACTACTGGACTCCAGCTTCCACCAGCCTTTTTGCCCTGCTGACCAATGGCACATGCAACCTGAAAGATGGAAATAGAGTGGATGCGGTTTCAGCAAGGATTTAGGATTGCATCACAGGGAACGGGGTCCCATGCTGCCCTGGGTGGATGTGAACGGGGCCCTCACAACTGTGCATTATTTGTAGGCCACGGTCTCATCTCTGCCTATGATTTTATCCCAGCTTTGAAAGCATCACATTCTTAGTGCGTTGACACTTCTCAGGATGGAAACCACCCAGTTGTGCACAGAAGAAATATTGCAACCAGGTGTGTGTTTTTGGTCGTCGAATTGAATTTGAAGATTGTACCTTGGGGATGGAGGAAACTATGGAAATCAGTCGTCGTGGAGGAATGAATCCGGCATCAATAAATATGCTGCTGTAGCCTGAGGGGAATTTGAGGGGCTGACATAGCTGGCTTGTTTACAGGATATTCTTCTGGGAGGGTTGGCATTGGCCCAGATGTTCCTGAACATTATTACTAAGAGCCCAGATTCACAATTGACCTTCCCTTTCCTGACAGAGGCTGTTGAATCTTTAATGTCTGAGTAGGAAATGAATTGCACAGCCAGTTTCCTCCTTCTGTCAGGAAACCACCATCACCACTCAAGGCTCTGGCAAAGGCTGGAATGGAGAAGATTTTTTCAGCCCAAGAGCCACATTCCTTCATGGAGAAACTTCCAGGAACCACATGCTGGTGATCAGTGGGGCCAGAGGCAGAAGTGGGAAGAGTGATGGGCAGGACACTTGTAGAATAGGCTACTTTCCAGCCAAATAAAAGTTTGAGTTTTCTATAGCCTTGGTGTTATCAGCACCATGCTTGAAGAAATTGAGTCATTCAGGCCGCATGTATTCCCGTGCAGAAGATGTGTGATGACACAGGGGTTTATATGAGACATGCCCTGCTCATGCTTCCATCATATGCCATTTGGTCGGCAGTAACAGGCATCACTTGGCAAGGCTGAAGACCTGCAAGCAACAGGAGCAGGAAGAGAGAAGGAAAGATTAGATACCTACCCCCTTTTGTTCAAAGCCTGAACAGCATGGGTGTAACTTATCTAAACAGTCATCTTCAGTCAAATAATTTTTCCCATATACAAAGATCTAGCTCAGGGGTCCTTCTTGGGAACCCACCATTAAGATCTAGAGGTTTCCCTGGGACGCACAAGAGGCTTTCTCAGTGGTGGCCCCTTAACAATGGACACCCCTCCTTTAATAAAATATAGTTTCCAGGATTCTTTGGAGGAGCCAGGACTTGTATAAGAGGGCTTTAAATGTATGGTGAAGCTGCTGGGCATTTTGCAAAGCACATTGCCAGTGAGATCTCCAACCATCCATTGCCTTAAATATGCACCTCTCTTGTTATATAAATTAGCATATGCAGATTTGGTGCAGAGTTATGTCAGGGGGCTGTACCCTGATTCTTTCAAGTACTGAGCCAACACCCCTGTGAGCAGGCTGCTGTCTACAAACCTGTTGAGCCACAGCTACTGGGCACAAGCAAAGGTGACTCGTGTCCATACACTCTGACATGAAAACTGGTTTCTGGTCTGGGATCTGCCCTCTAAGACCAACTGCTTGAAATGCCTTAATGCAATTTTAAAAATATATATTTCTTCCTCCTGGGAGGGTGGGGAGGAAGTTGGTTGGCTCAGGCTGAGATCTTGTTGGGAAGTGGCGTTGGGAGGGGAAGAGAATATAGATGGCAAAGAGAGGGACTGAAAAGGACTGGCTGGAGCCTGTGAGTTTATCCAAGATTTTATTTCTGGCGAGTGCTGCCTGCTCGTGACATCAGCTCTGGTATTTCCAATCCCTGAGGGGAGAAAGGGGGGAAGGGGAGAGGGGGGAAGAGAGAGGAGGAGGAGAGGAAGAGAGAGGGGGAGAGAATAAACAGGAAAATAGCACACAAGGGCACCAAGTTCTTTGGGGTCCTGAACGCTGAGCTGTTGTTTGGCCGAAGGATCTCATTGCCAGCAACCCACTCCAGGGTGTTAGGAAACCGGTGGCCTGACAAGGCCTTCCCAAATGTGCTCCATTTGGCCTCCAAACATTTCCCTCTTCCCTTTGCTTGAGCTGGCCCCATTCCCCAGCGCTCAAGCTGAGAATTGGAAGCAGCAGGGGGAAAATAAATTAAAACACGGTCAGAGTTTAAAGATACAAAATCCTCTTGTAACGTTTTCTTTCAACAGCCGGGCTCCCCATGTAGTTACACAGGACACAAGGCTCAGTTGACTGCAAGTTAGCCTGAAGTTTGGGGACGGCAGGCAGGCAGGCAGAACTCCTGCCTCTGAGGCACCCCCCCCAGCTGATGGAAAGAAGGGCATGCTTATAATGCCCCTTAGTCTCCTACTGCAGATCATTTTGTGAGCCAGATCTCCCATTCAGGGATGTAGAACCTTCTTCGGTCCAAGGTCTGCTTTCCCTTCAGGGCAAGTTTTCAGGGGCCACATGCAGGGGCCAGCAAACTTTTTCAGCAGGGGGCCAGTTCACTGTCCCTCAGACCTTGTGGAGGGCCGGACTATATTTTGAAAAAATAAATAAATGAACGAATTTCTATGCCCCACAAATAACCCAGAGATGCATTTTAAATAAAAGGACACATTCTACTCATGTAAAAACATGCTGATTCCCGGACCGTCCGCGGGCTGGATTTAGAAGGCGATTGGGCCAGATCCGGCCCCCAGCCCTTAGTTTGCCTACCCATGTGCTAGTGGCAGCAGGAAGGATCTAATATAGGTCTCTTAAGATCCAAAACAGTTGCTATAGACATGGTCATTCCTTTAGATCACAGATGGGCACTTTTTTCAGGGCCGCATTTGCATCTTACATTTAAAGCCCTTTAAAGACTGATGGCTTTCTCCAAAGAAAATGCAGTTTATTAAGGGTGCTGAGAATTTCCAGGAGGGCCATATTCCCCTGTTCCCTGGGAAGGGGGATTGTACGTTAATCTGCTCTGGGAATCATAGTTCTGTGAAGCGTCGTCTGCCGAGCAAGAAGAACATGGGGTGGCGGGTGGTGTCATTCCCCAGGCGAAGTTCTGACTCAGAGTAAGGCAGCTTCTTATGTTCCTAAGGAATGCGGACAGCTTGTTGACCTAATTTTGCTGACAGGAGAAACTCAGCCAAGAGAGTGAGCAAGGAGGTTCTTAGAAATGGGAGATTTGCCTCTGGGGAGCTGGATCTTTCAGACTGTGATGTGTGGAGTCCAAAGCACCGGAGGAAGGACTCCAAGGCACTTGTGAAGTAAGTTATCAGGGGGAAAGGTGGAGTATAAATATAACAACAATGGCGACAATAGGAACAACAACAACACAAGCCCTGCTAAATCAGACCAAAGGCCTGGGGTGGACTTGAAATCTACAGCATGTTATTCTTTGAAGGAGAACTATTTGAAAATGGTTCATAGGTGGTCTCTAACTCCGAGTAGGCTTGGTAAGATTTACAAGACTGAATCAGATAAGTGCTGGAAGTGCAAAGAGGTGGAGGGAACATTCTTTCATATGTGGTGGACATGTAAAAAGGTAAAAGAGTATTGGGAAATGATTTACAATGAATTGAAAAAATGTTTAAAATTACTCCCCCTCCCCAAGTCCTTTCTGTTGGGGATAACTCAGACTGAAATCCCCAGGTGTCAGAAAACGTTATTTATGTATGCAACAATTGCAGCCTGTGTTTTATTAGCCCCAAAATGGAAAGTTAGCGAGGTCCCAACCAAAGAAGAACAACAGCTTATGTTGACAAAATATGTGCAACTTGCAGAGTTAACATGTGGAATAAAAGAGCAAGAAGAACATGCGTTTAAAGAAGATTGGAAAACGTTTATTGGTTATACGGAAAATAACTGTGTACAGCTGAAAATGCTGGCAGCATTGGGATAATTCAACAGTGCAAATAATCTTTGATGGATGTAATAATGGAAAAGCGATTGGTGTATATACGGCCTGGGGTGGAGAAACTTTTTGAACCCAGAGGCCAATTTCCCTTCTGGGCAACTTTCTGGAGGTCATGGGCCAGTGGTGGGTAGGGGAGGAGGCAAGACTCAGTAGAGGCCTCAATGTGATTTGTAGCTTTCTACAGCGGGGACACGGGTGGCGCTGTGGGTTAAACTAAAAAGCCTAGGACTTGCTGATCAGAAGGTCGGCAGTTCGAATCCCTGCGACACGGTGAGCTCCCGTTGCTTCGTCCCCGCTCCTGCCAACCTAGCAGTTTGAAAGCACGTCAAAGTGCAAGTAGATAAATAGGTACCGCTACGGCAGGAAGGTAAACAGCATTTCCGTGCGCTGCTCTGGTTCACCAGAAGCGGCTTATTCATGCTGGCCACATGACCTGGAAGCTGTAAGCTGGCTCCCTTGGCGAAGAAAATGAGATGAGTGCCGCAACCCCAGAGTTGGTCACGACTGGACCTAATGGTCAGGGGTCCCTTTACCTTTACCTTACAGCAGGCTGGTTTCTACACATATGCATTCATACCTCTATCCTCCATCCACACAAGCAGGAGGCATCATCAGAGTTCAAGGATGTGTTT